CAGATGTATTCACAGGATTCATATGATTAGCCAGTTTTTTTGAGCAATTTAGCCCGTTTTCATTTCCAAAGATGTTTTTTCTTGCTTAGCCGTCTTACTGCTATTACTCCTGTAATGCTAATAATTTAAGTGTTTAAGTTGTGAGAAATATAGAGCTAATCCTAGTCTTGTTGTAAAGTGTAAAAAGACCTGGCAGTCATGCTGCAGTGTTGAAAACTGAATTGTTATATAGGTTGATGTACCTATACGTATGAATCTGTCTTCCTGGGTGGGTGAGCTAGACATTTTTTAATTTTACTATGGCAAATATCCGTACGGCCCTGACTCTTGGACTCCAACAATGCTGATTATGAACGTGGGCCAGGGGTCCGTGTGTGACCTCCCATGAATTTAAAACAAGGGGTCTAGTACCCCTGAAACTGAGTTCCACAGTCTCCTGCAGAACGCTAAAATCCAGATTGGCATGTGACTACCATTTCAGTGTTTTCTGTTAACACTTTTGGCGCTTATGTTTTCTGCAGTTGTCTGTTGCTTATTCACTCCACTAAAGCGGATGACTGTTATCTTTGGTTCCATGTTGGTTACATCTGCCCTCCTGAAACTCCCCCGGGGTGTGGAATTCTCTTTGTGTGCGTATTCATGAAAACACATTTCCCATCCACAAACATATCCAGGTTCAGAACAGGGATGAGTCAGTTTGCGATACGGTGTCAACCAAAACAGCCAGGATATGAAGAGGTCACCTGTTAAAGATGTGATTCAAAGTAAGGTGGATCTTTTGTCATGAATGAGAATTTCAGGTTCTTCAGGTAAATGCCACACGACAGTATAATGCTCTCTTGTTGAGATCTTCTGTTGTCCACTCAAGGTCAGCAAGCAATGTGGGGTGAGAGGTAAAGGTTAGCCAGAATGATTTAAAAAATTTGAAGAGGGAAAGGAGAGTTAAAAATGAGTTTTATTATTTGTTCATTCCACATAGTTTAGGGCTGAAGGTTAGTGTCTTCAGTCCTTCTTTTTTGCGTAGCTTTGCAAAGCTTTGTGTACATATATATAGCTATACATTATATTAGTATATATTACATATACCTTAGTTGTACATAATAGTTTTCTCCCCTGGAACAAACTGAAGTTTGGACTGTTTTAGGTCAAACCACATTTTCTGTTCATCTACAGTTTTCACATTTTTTAAATAAGAGTGGAAGGGAGGGGAAGTTATAAAACAAGAAAAATACACACCTACAATAGCACTCTAAAATGTGTCTAAAAACGCCACCTAGTGGTGGGACGTACAGAGTACTTGTATTTTTTTCTCTTGCTCAGTATATAGTACCTCTCTTAGCAAGAAGCCAGAAAATAATAATAATAAACTTTATTTTATATAGCGCCTTTAAAGGTGGCTTCTCAAAGTGCTTTACAGAATGAAAAAAATCTGATTTGAAAGCAAGTAGGATCTCCCAGCAAGATCATTCTAAAAACATGCTCTGAACAATACAAATTCTTCTTAGAAATCTGAAATGAGTATGACATAATTTAAGAAACTAAATGTAGGTACTGCAGGAATGGAAGACTTTAACCAAGGATCTGCTGCACACAGATCTGGGCCTATTCGATCAGTAAACAGATCAAGAGTATTTAAAAGTCTCCTAATTTTTAGTACATGCCCTGTGTCTTTCTTCCTTCTTAATTTTGTCACTCACCAGCAACGAAACAATGTATTTCTGGAAGCTGGGTACTTCAAAGACACTGGTTTTTGCTCACTGGGGACTGGCACTGTTATCTTCACATTTTAGTTCCTAGTGTTTCCTTGGCAGTATGTGCTTCGTGTAAAGTGACATACTTTGCAAGCCTGACATTTTCCAGTTGATGTGTGTTGTTACATGTTAAACAGTAACACCCTCATGGCAACAGGGGCCAAGGAAGTGGTATAACCAGTTTGTTATTCACTAATTTGTCATGTGACTTGGTTAATAAATGCAGCCCTGGTTTTGAAAACTGAGCTGTTTTTACTGGGTTTGGTGTTAGCAGATTTGTGGGTTAGCTGGTTGAGTACTGAAGGGATGACATGGGGTTATGGACTGATGCACAAGTGTAGGAATGAGTGGAGTGAATGTTGTCCAGCTTCCTTCTTAAGTGCTACGCAGAATCACCGGCTTTAAAATGTATCGTTATCTCAGTCACCTGTGCTTTCTCCTCGCACTGGAATCCGAGACAGTAAAACCTCATTGTGTCTGAGTGAACAATGGCTGCATTAAGGATCTTATTCCTCAAAGCAGTGTTTTCAAGACACAGTACAGTGAGGGAGAACGCCCTGTTATCCCACGATGGCCTGGGTTTACAGAGAGGTACTGTACCTGACATGGGTGGTTCTAGACTGAGAACTACAATCCGATGTGCACCTCATTCCCTGGCACTCCCCTGCTTCACACTAGCTACACAGCATGGGTGTTGACCAAGGTCACTGGTTGGTTAACAGGCCACCTTGTGGCTGTTCTACACATTACAACCTTGCAAACTTGGAACACTGGAACTGTCAGGTATTTAAGGAGTGTTATTATTAACAGGGTGCCCTGTCCCCTGTAGTCCTGCGATAGGGATAAGTCCCGCATTTATAAACCACCCACTAACTCTGATTGCTGGCCCTAGAGGCCCTATCTCCCCATTAAAATGCACTGATTTCCACATCCGGCCTCTGATTGCCAGTATTGGGAACAGCTCACATCCCCAGAGAATGACAAAGCTATGTTCTCTCCTCGTTAACAGACCCTGATTTAGACAGATAACCTCAATATAGGAGTCAGAGGAGGAAATGAGTAACATTACCTGTGTGCAATGTCACCCTGCTATTTGAACCATTCATTTTTCTATAAAGTGAAGTAAATCAGGGTGAATTTACACTGAATGAGTGTGGATGTCTACCTGGTTAATGGCGGTATCCTTAATCCTGGGATCGGGTGTACCTCAGAGAATTGTTTCTGGGAGGTGCCTAAAACAATGAAATATCTCCTCGAAAATGTCATTTCTGGATCAACCAAACCAAGCGGGATCTTTCATTTGTAACCCTTCTTCAGTGACACTTTCCAGTATCTGTATTTTTAATGTTATTACATATGATGATAATTTCAAATGGCTTTAGTGTACACTTTAAGTCACAGTGATCCTATGGTCTATTCATATGACTCCTCCCATTCTGATGAATTAATCCTGAACAATTGCTTATTGTAAACTGTTACCAAATCTGTTTTGTGTTCTTATGTGTGGATTTACATGTATCCAGGCTGCACTATGGCTGCATACTTGTTCTGGATTTTTCCAGAATCGCTTGAGTGGTACATGTCTGTCTGCCATGACTGCAGCAGAGCTTTCAGTTTCCTGCTCTCTCGCTCTCTGGAGCAGCATCCTGGCAAATTGCCCCTAAGGCCAGCACTCAGGGAATCTGTCTCAGTGGACTCTTCGAAACAGGGACTTGAAGGTGATCGTTCCAGTAAGGTTGATGAGCTCATCTTTGTGAGCACAGAGCAGTAAGGAGGTTCCTCCTTCCTCTGCTCTCCGTGTGAATAAAGTATTTTCAGGTCAGGTTTTCTGTCATAGTAAATTCTTTGTCCAGCCACTCTATAGCTCTCATTTCATTCCCTAGAAAGACAGCCCGTGCTTTAAAAACTGGAATACGAGCAGGTCGCTTTTATGTTAAAATCAAGTCCAAAAGTTTTTTTTTTTGCAGAGCAATGAAGTTCATGGGTTTGGGTAAGTTTATAGGCAGTAGTACACAATTTTAGCAATAGGATTTAAAATCCTGTTTAACAGCGTTTCGTATATTTACTTTTCCCTCTTACTAGTGGATGCTTCTACAGTGGCTGTCTAAAAGGCTGGGAGCAAGTGGGCCCTCTGGTGGATTGCCATGGTGAAATCATCCTTCAGTTACTATTGCCAGCGGCAGGAATCGTTGATATTCTTTTAGTTCTCACACTTCTGTGAAACTTTAAGTATTTGAATTTTCAGTTGAGTTTTGCATGGTCTGAAAATTCTAGATTTTTTTTTCCCCTTTCAAATCAAAGTGGTTTAGTATAGCTTCTCAGTTGTAATATTCCAGTTTCTATTCAAACAGAACAGGTCTGATAAATATTTCCAAGGTAAAAATGTAGTTGAAGTTGAACTAAAAGATGATAATTTAAAAGTCATGGATAGTTATAAAATTATACAATAATAGCTCTTGTCCTTACACATTTGTGATAGGGGTAATGTATACAACCAAATGCCTGAAGTCTGTTGTGCTCCAGAGCTGAACAGGAAGTAACTTTTGCAGTGTACCGAGGGATGTCAGCAGGAGAAGCAGATATTTAGATATTTATTGCTCTTTGTCTACCTGAGTCTCTGCTTATACTCACTCAGAAACATGGTTAGAAACATGGTTAGGTTCATCATCTTCAGTTGTTTGTCTGCATTTATCTCTAATAGTGATCTCGGCCACAGAGTTAGCTGCCTTATCTTGTTATCACTTTATTTTTGTCATATCTATTGCTTATTTGGTGGACATGACAGGAATAACAGTCTGGTTTCAAAGATGGATCTTTTGAGTTTTTAATCCTGTAAGTGTGAGATGCGCTCACTTCACTGACACTTGAGCATTCTTACTGCCCTTCCCTGTAGACTTGGATAAAGATGTCAAATTAATGTGTCATTAATTATATTGGTATTAAATCTAACTTATTCATGTAAATTATACATATCCTTGGTACATAATAATATGAAACCTTCATGAAGAGATAATATAATAAAGAAGCAATCATGAAGTGCAAAGTAGAACAGAACCAATCACAGCAGCACCTGTCAGCTTGGCCTTGTGCAGTCCTGCTGTTGGAGCCTAATATTTCCATTAGTAAATGTGGGTGATGTGGACAGTTGCACTGTGCTTTGGGGTGGAGGGGAGTGCTCACTTCTGTATGGTCAGGGTCTGAAATGATGGTGCCCTCATTGTGTGTGTGTGTGTGCTCTCTTCCCTGCAGGCTGGACCTGGTGGAGTCTTTCTTCCATGATGTGGAGCTGCGACAGAGCTGTCAGGAGGACCTGCTCCGCCGCTTCCCAGACCTCAACCGCCTGGCCAAGAAATTCCAGCGCCAGACCGCCACCCTGCAGGACTGCTACCGTGTGTACCAGGCTGTGAGCCAGCTGCCCAACCTGGTGCTCGCACTGCAGAGATACAGCGGTAAGGCCTGCAGCACCTGGGGTCAGCGGTCTTCTGTTTTCCCTTCAAAACCACGAGAGGGTTTGTGACATTTAGCCTCTTTGTCAGCTGTGCAGGAAGCTGGTTTTGGTGGATATTTGTTGAGCTGCACAGTGATGTGCACTAAGTGTCCCCTTTAGCTTTCTCCACAATATCAGATATGGCCAAGGGAGCCCTGGTTCCAACATGTTGCACGAGCCTTTCCATCAGTGCTCTTCTCTGGCTTTTCTTACATCTGGAGCAGAGGAGGTCAAAGTGCACGTTACCCACTCTTTAGCCAGTTTCAGGCCTGACGTTTTCTCTTGACGCAGGCAGCATACTGTTCTACGTGTCTAGCAGGTGAGAATAGTTTCTCCGTTATTAGCCATGGGGGGTTGGCTTGATGAATTTCAAATTGTTCAGTGCGTTTGTTTTGTTCCTCACATTCATGACCTGTTTACTTCACTGAATCATCTGGCATATCCCTCTCCTAATCTTTATTCGTTACCACTTCAGGAGCACGACTCACAGGTGCTTGCTGCTTGGGGCTGTCTGTGTTTCTTATTAGTTTCACCACGGGTTCAGATTCATCAAAAATTGTTCTGATGCTTTTACTAAACAAAGACAACTTCTTAAGGCTTCTTTTCAAAAAAATGAAATGTATTTAAAAGTTTTTTATGCACATGACTGCTTCTACTCTTCCAGAGCCATTGTAGGAGTGCTGTAGTCTACAGTGGCAATGTGCACAGAGCATTATAGCAGCAAACCATAAGGCTTCATATCCTGTTAAGTTTTTTTTACGCTTTAAATCATTTTTTAAATTTGGAAACACAGAGGTACATTTTTTCATCTCGCAACAAAGTGCCGATTCTTTGCTTCAAAGAGCACGGTTAGTCTAAAACTGAGAGGAGCTGAGCTTGCAAGATTATATTCCTATTCATGAGAGAGTGTTGTTATCTAGAGGGGTGATATGCTTAAGACTCCCTGCAGCTCCTTGCACTGTTGTTCAGTATTTCCGGTCATCTGCTTCATATAATGTCCTGTAGCCATCGTGTAACGAGAGCAAGTAGTATTACAGGGTGTCATCTCTTCATTCTCCTCCTCAAAGCCCAGAAACAAGCAATGAATTCTTTAGGAGTTACTCTGTTGGATAGCTATTGAATGTGAGGATACATTAGTCAATGGGAAGGGTATGCAACATGCACTGGTGATGTTGGATGTGGTATTTGATTCAATCTCTGTAGTGACTTCTTTTATAGAATTAAAAACAACTCATACTGTAGTTGTCGGTGAGTGTAGGTTTCCTTTTCATTTTTGTTGTCCGTTTTCCTGTGCTAAACCTTAGCCAGCTTCCTTTTTGGTGAACCAGTGGCTATTGTGGTCGAGAGTCACAGGGCTGCTGCAGTGTCTGAAAATGGCAAATGACATCAGATGAAAGTGCGTGTTGCTGCAGAGGGTTCAGTGATGTCAGCGCAGGGGTGCGGAGCCAGGCTGCAAATAGGATTGCAAGCTCTGGGCTGCGGGAGAGTCTTATGGAATTCATTATTTAAGTGTCACATAGAGTTATGATGAGAATGCACATGTAGCACTTCTTATTGGATTTTCCAGTGATTTAAAAGTCAAAAAGCCAATATCCTTTGACATTTACACATTCTGAACCAATAAATACTGATGAGCTTTGGGACTGCCTCCCCTCAAAAGGTACCATGGAAATGAGACGGAGAGGAATGCAGACAGGGTGCGAATAGCTCTAGGACCTGTTTTGTCTCTTTGGAACATGCTGTTCCTCCACAGAGAAAGCAAAAATAAGCAATGAGCTGACTGACAATCCTACTGTTAGTTGTGGAAATAATGCACCATGATAAAAACTGTTCATTTGCTGCCTCTTGCTCATCCAGGCGTGTTGTTTCAGTTTCTGTGCAGGATAATGGAAGTCTGTCCAGTCCTGCAGGTCCAGAAAGACTGTTGCATGAAACGCCAGGGAGGCTGTCAAAAAAACCTTTTCTGCGAAGAAGAATCTTAATTCAGGCCATAGAAAGTTAATGTTGTTTGGTTTGGAGTGGGAAATTTTGTGATATAAAGATGTATGCAATGGTAGGTTTTCTTTGGATAACAATATTTTAGCAAGATTCCTGTCTAAAATTAGAAGTAATGCATCCACATTAAAGCATTTTTCAGGAGTGTTAATGCTATGTTCAGGGTTAAATGTAGAGCTTTGTGTTAGTGTTAATATTGTGGAATGTTACTCAGAGAGTCTACGTGTTTATAAGGGATCAGTTACTTTTCCTTATTGGGTATGCAACCTAACTTATATAAGTACAATATAGCATAATATAATCTCATAGATGTAGGACAGCCCTTTTATCAGTCACACCGTGTGGGAAATAAAACTTAATTACTCTACAGCAATTCCTTAGGAATGAAGATGATAATTCACTGGAAGTGAAGGTATTTAATCCATTCATCAATTTTCTAACTGCATTTCCAATGCAGGGTCATGGGGAAGCCGGAGCCCATCTCAACAAGCAGTGGGCGCAAGGCAGTATGCACCCTGGAGGGGATGCCAGCACATTGCAGGGCACACACTCGCACCAGGGTCTTTCCACTACCCAATTGACCTACCCAGTATGTCTTTGGACTGTGGGAGGAAACTGGAGCACCTGGAGGAAGCTCATGCAAATACAGAGAGAACATACAAACACCCCACAGATAGTACCCCTCAATCTGGAACTGAACCCAGGACCCCAGTGCTGAAAGGTAGCAATGCTAACCACTGTACAACTCTGGCACCCTGAGGGGTTTTCACGTCAGTTGATAAATAACTGTGACCTTGAGCATATTTTAATATGATTGCTCAGCTTTAGCAATAGGTTCCTATTACAAATTCCTTTGGAAAAAGAAATTGAACTTTTCCATGGTAATTCTGTCAGGTGTACTGTGTGGAAGTCAGTTTATCATTAGTTGGTTGAAGTTCAGCACAGAATGCAGCAGGTGGTTTAATTAAGAGGTTTAGCAGATTGTGTTGCCTTGTGGTTTTTATGATGTGCCACATAAAGTGTGACAGCAGTGTCCAAGCAGATACACAGATGTAGCTGTAGATCTAAACTTGTGAGATAACTCTTGAATCGATTTGACTCTGAGAATGTGTCTCATTAATCAAGCCCCCTCTGACAATGTTCTGAACTTATTCATCATTGTTTTTCCTCCTTTCTGTCAGCATAGGTATCTCGCCTTACATGGTATCCAATTAACAAACTAAATGCTGAGCTCGCAAGTGAATGGGAAAAGTTGTTAGTTTCCGTGCATGTATAGTTTCAAATAAGCATCATCACAAGTGTAGCTGCTGCAGGCAACCTGATCTTTCCTGATATTGTATTTTACTGAAATCATTAAAGTGTACGACATTTATTTTACACCAGCATGCCACCCTTGTGAATTTTAATATTCATATTATGTGCATTTGTGCACTGCATATCAATATGATGTCAATCCCTATATGATCTGATCCGCTATGTATAGCCGTCAAGAGTACTTATAAATTCCATAAATCATTGCACAGGGACTTCTTTGTAATCCCAGACAGCAAGAAAGAGCAAAGCTTCAACCAAAGCAGTTATACACCCAGGAAACCCAAAACAGCATTTCCTATTCTCATTTTGTACTGCATGAACCAGCCTTCATTAGTGTTTATTTCTGCAAAGAAGAGCATATTTGATTATTGCCCTCTTTGCTTTTGATTTTGCTGCATCCCTTAAATACAAATGCTTTTGAATGTTTTATGTAAAAATGCAGATTTATTCTAACAAGCGTTTGTCTAGCTGAAGGCTGCTGCAGTGCACAGCTTTGAGTTTCTCCAAGAGCTTTTTATAAGAAACCCTGTGCACTTTGTGTGCATACAGGGCTATGTATGTGCAGAGGTGATCAAATAATCTTTTGGTTTTATCTGTGAGCTTAAGGTATCTCCACCTAAGTTCTGGTCCATCAGCATGCACTGCATAGACGAATGAGCCACATTCCATTAAGGTATGCAGGTCTGTTAAAATCATTTCGAGCTGTAGACCAGAGAGGTGAATAGTTTACTCAAGTAAATAATTAGATCAACTAACCAAGTGATTTTTTTTAAATTTGTGGACTTAATTTGTGGAATTCTGGCAGTAGACAGCAGCCAGCAGCCAACATCCTTGAGATATTTTTTCTGTGATGATTAGAGTATCTATCAGGATCTTGTGCATAGTCTCTTACTCAGGTATATTGGTATTTCCAAAAGTGATAGCTGATGACTGAAGAGAGAGATTAGTTTTGACGTTTGGAGTGTACCTTCCTCATTTGTGATTTTTGGCTAGAGTTCAGAAACATTCTTGATCAAAGTATATGGAAAACACAGGCAACTTTATCTAAATTATAAAGAAACATGTTCACATCTTGTGGAGTGCACTGCAGTGCTGAAAAATTGTTAGGTGAACCAAGATTGATGAGGTCATTGTTTCCCTGTCAGTCATTTCTAAGCTACAGGCCTTACTGATTTCAAGGCTGGCCTCAGAGATTCAGTTAAAGACAAAATATCAAAGAATGCCCCTGAGACATCAACATCACAACTCAAAGGATACATTTATGTTGATGTTGCCTTTCTTTTACATACATATTTAAAAAGTGATTTGTTCGGCTTCAAGGAGAGCCCTCATGTTACTTTAATGCTATTCATTGCTTTTGTGCACTTAAAAGGCATTAAACAGCAATAAAATAAATAAAAGATAAACGCTGATTTATATTTTTTAAATATTATGTTCAGATCAGTTAATCTTGTTTCCTTATTCAGTATCTGTGGATCTGTAGCTGTGAACTGGATTAAGCTCTAGTTAAGGACACACAAGAAGTATGTGTGTGTCCAAAGGAAATCACTTCTGTCACAAATCCAGAGCAATAAGTTTGAAATGTTTGAAAATGCTGGCCATCACTGGACAAGGTTATGTGCTTTCCTTCCTTAAGCTCTATTCTAGATCCTGAGTGTAATTCAAGGCTTCAAGGCTTGTAATTCAAGGTAAAATATGCTGCCATTAAAACATATGCTGGAATGGGAGGCTGTCAGCCTCCCATTCCATGTGTTTGAGCAAATTAGTCACCGTGTCAGTCTGGCGTTTGTTAGTCAGTCAGCTTATTGAGTCCCTTGGTCAGGAGTCTTAGCGTAGTTTTAGTGACCTGAATTTTGTTGAAGTTTAGAGTGTACTTAGTCTTTTAGTTTTACTGGTGTATAGCAACAAATGTGCACTTAACAGCTGTCTTAGCTTTTTGTGAGCATTGCTTCCAGTTTTAAAATGTCAGAGAGGAGTTTGAAAAACAAGGGAATGTAAACAGCTGATGTAACAACCTTCAAAACATATGCACACACAGTTTTTATGCCCACATAAGCCTTAGCCAGATTTAAAGTATCTGGGGTTTGTTTCTTTTCAAGAAAACCAACTAATGGGGATTACAGATAATGAACATATTTCATTCATAAGCTTTTGTATGCATATCTTATTGAGTCCTCTATCTGATCCTGGTAAAATAGTGGTGTGGGAGACGGGTGTAGTTTTTTAGGAATTTTATGTCCTTTACTGAATAAAATATGATACGACAAATGGAAATCAAGTTGATTATGAAAAGTGCACACCAAAAAGAGAATGAGTCTTGTTAAGCTTAAAACTTGAACCTGCTAGGTTGTTTTATTAGATTGATATTGTAGAGTAAACCATTATATAGATATGATTGTAGATGGCTAAAAAATATGCAGTAGATGGCTATAAAAGATGGCTCATAAAGACACAAGACATTGCACATATTAAAGCGCCTCTTGAAAGGCACAACTTTACAGTCATTACTCCAGCCTGCTGCAAATAATTTCTGTTGTATTACTTTGTGTATTAAAAATGCAGAAGTCAGGATCTCCCAAGGGCAAGTGGTCATTGCTGGTTTACAGCCTCTGGAACCTGTCCTCTAACCTCAAATCGATGCCTCTCTTAACCTTTCCTTTAATACTCCAAAAGTATTTTGATGGACTTGAGTTTTTAATCCCATTAAACCAGTATCCTGTAAGTATGGTGATAACTTGTGTGTTCTGTGGCGCCTTATTACATGTTGGTCATTTGATCAAGTACACCAGGTGATCCTGCTGGTGCTAATTTCTCCGTGTAGGTTAGAGAGTTTTGTCTCAGTTTTTCAGGGTGAGTCATACTGTAAATGTCAGAACATGGAGTTTGAATGAGAAAGAGGCTACAAGCGCAATGGGAGTCTCCTGGAATGTGTTGAGAGCTGAACTGTAGCTCAGTGTGCTTGCGATCATCACACAAAACTACCCTTCAATTTGCCGGTCCTCAGAGGAGCTCAGACTGGTCTTGGGTGACCGAGGAGTACCAGCACTTGTAAAAAAAAAACTGAGGTGACCAGCTGCTTCAAAATAAGTAGAACAGAGAATAATTAAAAACTGCAAAAGTCAGGCAAGACTATTATCAACTCTGATGTAGAGTAGACTTTATAATGTCAGAATCTTACGTAGGAGAACCTGACTTTGAAGAGTATTTGTCTCTGAGGTTCCCTGTGTCCACTTTGATTAGAGACAGAATGTGGATTAATGGCAAAATGTTTGTTGATTTTCCTGGCTTGTCTCTGACATAATGTGGTGATTTATGTGTGTCGCCATTCTGTTGTTCTCGTTTGCAGTGGAACCCTGATGCAGACCTTCTTTGTGTGCTCTTCTGCTCTAGGGAAGGAGCTCATTTAATTTCATTAATACAGGACATTTATCTCAACTAGGGTGCAGGGGTGCCAGATGTGGAGTTGTCAACGTCTAGCCTTCACGTAGTCTCACAGTCTATTTCATGAATCTGAGCAAGCAATGAGCAAAATGTAATAGTAAAATCACCAATTGAAATGGATTTCATACTAGAAAGATATAAATGTGGGGAAATGTGTCATAAACCTATTTAGCAATCTTGAAGAAATTGCTCAGGAGCCTGAATGCCTTTCTGTGGCGAGCTTTGTAAATGGTACAAACCCTTATTTGTTTAAAAAACAGAATTACAGGGAGAGATTAGGTCCAGCAATGTTGAAGTTTTGACAATTTATAGGTAATTTGGGGTTTTATGATTGTGAAGGCCAATCACTCAGTTAGCAAGTGCAAGGAGAGTTAGCTTTCTTTTTTTGCTCTTGAAGACGATCTTTAAGTCCTCTGTGTCACTATGACAAGCTCCATTTTTAAGTTAATTTTCCGGGAGATGTGAAGACCATAGCTGGCTTTGTGGGCCTGAATGCCACAGTGAGGAGGGTCATGACCTTTGGAAGGACACCCAAGGTACGTGCTATCATTGCCCTAATCCTGTGCTTTCTGTTCAGCCTCACAAGTCATAAATTGTGGCCAGCAGCAAAAGTATTGATTGAAGCAGAAAGAATAAGGATAATAAATCAGATATTTAGTCTTTGGAGCTTGGTGGGGTTTGCTTTGTTGTTATAATATCTTTCAGGACTTAACGGTTTTAAATCCTTTTTTCCTTCGTGTGATCTGGTCATTAAGCAGCTGAATTCAGGGACTGAGAAAGATTTAAGAGACAGAATGGGGAAGCAGTGTCCATCTGCTCTGCTGGCTTAGGGAAGAATAGTTCTGGACAAAAAAGCTTGTGTTTCCAACCTAATTGTTACAGATTGCAAATAATTTCTCATTTGGGAAATGAATATCATGGAGTGCGAGGGTTGGGTTTTTTTAGACCAGTTTCCAGCATTTTCGAGTGTGTGAACTTTTTTTCAGTTTCCAGACATTTTGCTGAGCACCACATGTTGCTGTTTTTTCTATACTGCATCATACAAGGAAAACTGACTTAATAAAGAAATAATCTGCAGTAAGTAAACATTTCTAAGGCGTGTATCTTAAATTGTGACATTCTTATTCATTATAATATATTTGTATAGCAGTGCATGTATGTGTATGTGTGCTAAGTGGCTTAATCAGGTGGCTGGTGGTATTTTGCTGACTTAGCTTTGACACGGGATCCATATCACAGTTCTTCCTTCTGTGGACCCCGTGTATCACAGACCACGAGTTGAGAACCTGAGTGGAACAGGGCCATGGTACAATGGCCGCCAGACTGAGAAGGTCATTCCTGAGGATGTACAGTTTAAAACTGAGTGCTTTTTCTGTCTGTCTGGTAGTCTCTTTGCCTGCAACCTTGGCTTGTTAATGGTTATTGTCCAGTCAGCTGGTCTCTGTGGGAGTCTAGATGCAGATGTGCTACTGCAAACATCTTTTACATTACTGTTTGACCTGACATGGACAATATGACACATAGTGGCTTACAGTTTGATCAGGAAAGTTAGAAAGGTTAGAAGTGAGAGGAGGCCTTCTGGTTTATCTATCGCCTTGGTTGCTGGTAGTTAAGTCTAATAATCTACAATGTATTTGTTAAAGAGGCAGAAATCTAAACTGCTTTGCTTCACTAAAAAAAGCAATGTAGCAAAAAAAGCTTAATTCTACCATTGCATGTATTTTTCAACTGTACTGGTTACAAAGTATCAGTGATAGTGTGCATTTAACCTCCCTGAATGTGGGCCAAGTACAGCAATACATCTTCAGCTCGCATTTGCAATCTAGAGTGAGATTCCTCGGTGATTCAATAGTATTTCATGGCAGTAGCTGAGTATGTATTGATCAGGGCTGTAAAACCTGTTATCACAGCAGCAAATGGTGATGCACTCAACTCCCACACTTCCCATTAAAACATTTTGTCAGTGGATTGCTGTTTTTTTCTGGGGGTCAGGTATGATGGGAGCATCTACATTTATATGATGATGATCTTGAAAATGTAAAAAGCTAAATGTTGTTTTTACAGATTGTTCATTGTCTGTGTATGTTCTGTAAACTTTATTTTAAAATAACTATGACTTGGAATAACTGCTGGAGGGCAGAGAAGGGAACAGCTGGCTACAGAGTAAGTGAGCTGCTAATAAGGCTGTCAAGAGGAAAACAAATCCAGGAGTGGCAGGCCAAGAGCAATCAAGATAAAACCAGCTGACAAGAACATCTGACCAGCCGTGATTGGCACATATTACACATTTTCAGTTTTAGAAGATGAAAACTAAATGCAATTTGATTCCGAAGGAAAAAAATCTTCACATTCTATTGAGCAGCAGAAGATGTATAATGTTCAATATGTGTGTACCATTGTTCTTTTTAGTACTTTTGGCACGCCAATGAACTTGAGAACATCACAGCTTAATTTACATTGCAGTTATCTGTGGTCTTTGATTAAGAGTCAGAGTTTTTTGTGTAGTAAGAGTGTTTGTTTCCTTGTATGCTGGAATGTTTATCTCCTGAGTTGCGGGTAAAAAGGGAGATGAAGTAGAAATATAGAAATACAAGAAAAGGTCTAAGTTCATATTGGGCCCTTTGACTTCTTATCTGTGGTTTAGGCCTACCTTTAGTGTTTGTTACTGGTCACAATTTCTTTCTCTATTAAAATACCTAATATTACATTTACAATTACATTTTTAATTCACAGCATTCAGTGTTTTTGTTGCTAATTGCTTTTTACTTTTTAACCCTGTTTATCTTGCAGGAAAGCATCAGATACTTCTAAATGCTGTTTTCATCACTTCTCTCAATGACCTTACCAGTGATTTCTCCAAGTATCAGGAGATGATAGAAACCACTTTGGACATGAACCAGGTATACCATTACTGTAGAAGGAAATCATTCTCCTAGGCGTCAGAATACTTTCTTCGAATGCTTCCTAAAATGTCCTTTTTCCTCAATAGTAATTTACTAATGAGCATCGTGTAGCTCCACTGAAACTCAACATAAAATGGCGTAAAAGTCACAAAATGTGTCAGTATTATTATGGAAGTCCATTATGCCTGGTGCTTTAAATTATATCAAATACAGTTGCCTATTTTCAGCTTTCATGCATCTTCCATTTGAAACGTGTTATGGTGGTTTATGGTGTATTACACTTTCTGCACAGGCTTTAAAGTGAATAATAAGCTCAAAGCTGAGAGCAGCAATGGAGATGTGTCCTCTCAAGCCTGCACAGCGTGTTGTAGCTCATCAATGGGCCGTGTTTTTTCAGCCTGCAGTATACACTGCACTGCAAAACACTGTTTAAAACTAGACACCTGAAACAGAATAACCTGCAGTATAAAGGAGTGAAAGAACAAAGAAAGTAGCCCAGTGCACTTACGGAAATCTTTTTTTAATAATCTTGACAGAAGAGGGCAGTGTTCCTATAGCTACCTGTGGACCTATAAATCATAGTGTTGCATAAGAAGTTAATAGATATAAACTGACTTTGTATTGCCTGGTACATAAACTGGCCTTGAATAGGTTCCTAATTACAATGGAATCATGCACATATTGTTTCTTAATTTTATTTTATTCCAGTTTGAATAAAATTAAATATATCCCACATTATGTAGATTTCTTTACTGACAGCCCACTAAAAGGCTCTTGGGGAAAATCTGTTTCAAATATAGTGATAAGTTGACTTGTTCAATGGTGTCAGGCACAAAGGTTGTATTTTTATACTACTTATTTTATGAAAAATGTATTTGAGTAGTCCCACCACTGCTTTTGCTTTTGGCTCTTAAAAGGGGCTGGGATCGTTAAACCACATTTGGGAATAGAACTGTAAAAGGAGATGACAAGGAAGAACTGTCATTAGAGATCACTGCACTGCAGAATCTCAGATGACATTTAAGGGCTGTTAATTCCCTGTAAAATGTGAAAGACATTTTTTACTTGTTAACCATGCTAATCTTCCTTTCTTTTAACCTGCTGCCACATTAGATTAGGAGGAGACAGACTGACATTTTCTACTTGCTGAGGCACAGTCTTTGGCTTCAGAGGAGGGCCTTATCAGCAATAACACCTTATTACTGTTCTGGTTTCTTAATACTATCAGCTGTTAATTACACAGCAGTCCTGCATCTTAGGCCATCAAAGGCTGCATTTTCAAAGCTGTCGCTAGACTGTCCTGTTGCTGCCTTTTGCCCTCTGTGACTCTCACTTCCATATCAGTGAGTGTCTGTATGGGGTTTGGTGAGTTTAATTTTCTGTCTGCACAGGGATAGTTCTATTAATGTGTGTGTGAAGACTTCAGAAATACCTTAAGAATCTCTTTATTTGTGAGCCTTAACAACTGCTGAGACCAAATCCTGTCCTCAGCCTTCACTTCATCAGAATTAAGGGTTAATAGCTGGAAGCCCTGAATAGGTAACAGACTTCAGGGCCTCTGTATGGCTAAAACCCCTATAAACCCAAACCCACTATAAATATAACTCCTAATGTGCTGAATTTGAATAAGATATAAGATAAGATCACTTTATTGGCCATATACAATTTCTTGTATTAGGAATTTGTCTTTTCGCATACCCCAGCTTGCTCTCCATGAGACACACAGACAGGAAGAGAAGCTCGGGGTCAGAGCGCAGGGTCAGCCATTTATACAGCGCCCCTGGAGCAGTTGGGGTTAAGGGGCTTGCTCAGGGGCCCAACGGAGTAGGATTCCTCTGCTGGCCGCAGGATTTGAACCGGTAACCTTCCAGCCACAGGCGCAGACCCTTAGCCACAGAGCCACTGCACAGCCCTGTTATGGAGATGCCTCGTGCTGCTAATATAGATTGTACGCTTGTCTGTGTTTGACTTCGTTCCTTCTCACCAGGTGGAGCACCACGAGTTCCTTGTGAAGCCATCTTTTGACCCCAACCTGAGTGAGCTGAGGGAGAAGATGGACCAGTTGGAGAGCAGCATGCAGTCGGCTCTGAACAGTGCTGCCAGGGAGCTAGGTGAGACCTCTGTTACTGCGCAGTCAGCGACCTGATGTACTGTAACTCTCATTTTAGCCTGCTGCCAAGCTGAATCAGTGCTGATTTTCCCACCTAATTAATTTACTTTGGAGAATGTACTTTGCCTCTGTGTTAATTAAGGATGTGTACCACTAACCCATCCACCTGCTATTGGCATTATTTACAGGCAATTGTTAAAGTGCATATAAAAAAGCTTGTGTATACTGCATTTCTCCAGTGAGGAAATGTTCTCCTCTTGCACTGCAGCTGTTACTCAAGATTGCATGTGAAGCTAAAATACTTTTAAGTCACACAAATCTATGTCAGATATAGATCTTATGCTGTTACCAGATATCATCATCTCTCACCTGCTAAGCTCCTAATGGACATGCTCTCTGACAGCTGATAGCTCTCCCATTCACTGCTCTAGTGAAAAGGATGTTGCTGCACAGTACAATTGCTTGTGTGAATTTATTTTCTTAAACAGGCAGGTGTTCCACCTAGTTCTGTCCTTTGAGAAGCTCCTGTCTTTGAATCTTGGAGCAAATACTTCACTAAACAGGGTCAGACCTAGACAGTTAGGAGTAGTTTGGAGTTTTCTGTCCCTGCTTGACTGAATCTGCTTATTTGGCTGAAAGTGTCTTTGTTTCAGGTTTGGATGCGGGCAAGACCGTGAAGCTGGAGTCGAATGCGCAACTGGGGTATTATTTCAGAGTGACCTGCAAGGAGGAGAAAAGCCTGCGGAACAACAGGAAGTTCACGACCCTTGACGTGCAGAAGAATGGAGTGCGTTTCACCAACAGGTGGGCAGAGTTGTAGCCTTCTGGTACGGTTTGTGAACATGTTCATTTAACATAATAAAATGTTTATGTATAACATGAGGTGAAAATAAGTAACATTTTGAAGTATAATTATGTTTAGAGCCAAAAGCTCCTCCAAACAACTATCTCCAGTCACAGAAAAAAACCAAAATGCATTTTGTTTAATTTGGCTTACTGACATAGGAAATAAAGACTTGTGTTACATTTTTATTCCTCTATTTTAGCCATCATAAAAACGCCATAGATCGGTCCATATTTTCTCACTGTCTGCCAATGGCCTAGTGAAACAGTGTTGCCTTCCAGGAGATGTTACAGATCTTGTGAGTTTGAGGGTCACAGCTCTCTTTCCTCTGGGTCTCCTTGGCTACAGAGGAGAGGAGGTATTTGAAAAAGGCATTGTCATTTCTTCATTGATGCCTTACTTGTGTATGTATCCAGCTGAGTTAATATGTTGTTATATCATAAACCATCTCATTAGCATGCCATCAGCCTCCCATACGCAAACCTTTGCATTACGTGTCTTTGTTCCTTTCTGTTTTATGTCTGTCAAGGGATAGATAAACTGTGGGATAAAAACAATTGTGCCATCATGCCAGGAAGTGTTTTTTTTATTGTGCACAGCTTTCAGTATGTGAATATGAGTGGAGTGAGCGTAAGTACTCTTGGGTTAGCTCAATAAACAGGCCACAGTAGAGCCTTGCCAGACATCAATGTGGGTTTAACAGGATCAAAATGGTTATTATTGAAGAAGCCAATCTATTTAAAATTAATTACTCAATTTTAATTTAGTTTTTTTGTGGAATTACATTGGATTCGATCTCATTCAAGATCCCGTGGGGTTTCCTGCCCATTAGGTCTCTCACTTAATTGGCCTACTATATCTGTCATTAAAAAGGTATAAATCAGTGCATCCGGAAAGAAAGTAATCACTCAGTGTCTTTGGTACCCAGAAGTTTTAAATCATAGAAAACTGTGTTTTAACCTGGTGTTGAGCAAGCCATTCTCAAAATGACTGTTACCTCTTTGGTTTGCCTGCTTCATAACATGGGGTCTTCTCTTTTACTAACTCCAAGGGATTTATCATGTTTTATATGGTTTGCTCATCTTTTCTGAACAATTGCTTCCCTTTGAAGTGCATCTTAAAAGTACAGCAGTGTCACTTTGGCAAAGAGGTGTTCAAAACAGTGGCACAACTAATGTTCACTTATCAGCAGGCAGCTACCTAGATCTTCTGCACTGCAGTTTGACCCATTTATGATGAGAAATCAGCTAGGGGCCTAGAAATTCTGTGAAATTATCAGGGAGATATAAATAATTATGACACCGAGGGGAGGAGCTGCCTGGAGGAGCTGAGGGAAGCAGAGAACTACAGCTGACAGAGTTCCCCTCCCCCCGCTGACAGGGCACTGCTGGTCAGTTTATCAGAAGAACCAGTGAAAGCCTCTGTAGTGGTGTGGCTTCGTACCCATTGAGGTAATAAAGCCACCATGCCAGTCTGCCCACTTTACTTCCTGTTGTATTCCCTTCGTGTCTGAAGACAGTTTACAGGCCACAGAGAGCAGCCAGCCATTCTTCTTGCCACCTAAGTTGTTTGAGGTGTTGGAGGGTGTCTGAGAATATTTTACATAAAAGAATTCCCCAGATCATGGATACTAGGTCCTGGTGTATCTCTATGGAAGACGCGTGTCCCCACAGTGTGTGAGGAGCTTTCCTGTGCTTAGGGAAGAGTAGGAAGCTGGGAAGGGCTTCAGAAATGCTCATAGCACAACACTTTGATCTCCTTTAGGTTTTACGAGCTGCAGGGATCTGCACGAGTTGTGCTGATGAAGGAAAAAAGCATTTAAAACTTGATACTCCTTTCTCTTGCCGCAGGTTCAGTGAAAATATGGTTACAAGCTTGAAAAAGCCATCACCAGGTACTGGCTTCTAGGAGCTCTTGCAGCCCATAAAAGCTGGAATGGCTCAATTTGTTGAACAATGAGAGTTTGTTAGTAATTGTGATTTAAGAACCCTAGCCTGGAGAAGCATTATCATAGTATCTCACATGTATTACAATACAGCTCGCAAGGCTCCTTCATTCTTTACCAGTAATTGCACTTGTGCAATCATAATTGCAGTAATGATGGAAATTGCAACATGAAAAACAGCACATTTGTATGAAAAGTGCATGTTGCACATTTTAGAAATACAGCTGCTGCTTAGGTTTTCATACAAAACCTTGTGCAGCTGGGGACCTGGAGAAAAAAGGAAAATGTTTGCCTGTTTGTCAGAGCTTGTGCCTTGGTGTCAGGAGAAGCTGTGCAGCTCTTTGGTTATTTTTAACCTGCTGCCCTTTAATGTTCTGCTTCCCTTCAAAATGAGGAAACCTGCCCTGAGTTTCCTACCGTTTCTCCAGAGCAAAACAGTCATTAAGGCCGCCTTATTGGTAAACCTAATTGGCTGCATCTGAAAAATCAATTAGTCTGGAGACCGCATGCTTTAGTAGTTTGCAGCAGTATTTTTTTCCTTTTGAATTATTTTAAATGCTTTTTTATCCTGCCTGTTTAGTTGTTAGTTATTGCAGAAACACAACCCACAGCGTTTGTTCCACAAATAGTTCCTAGGCGGTCTTGCCTTCATAGTTGAACTGAAGAGCTGCTGAATACCGTTTGCTGCTTTTAAGTCAATGCTTCGTCTTGTAAAAGTAATATTTAAATACAGTTATGTACAATTAAAATAAAAAATAAAATGAATTCAGGATAGAGCCAAATAATCTAACAAACACTATTTGTTTACTCGTTTGAGTTGGATCAGTTTGAGTTGCAATTCTGACCTACTGCATTTTTCATTTTTAACACAACAGCGTCAAGAGTTTTGTCTGTCTTGTATTTCTGTCCCTGTCAGTAAAGAGAGCAGTGTTTCTTTGTACTTGCCAGTGTAGCCTCTAACAAAGGCAACACTGGGTACCAGCCTGCCAGGGACTTGGTCAGCTGTACTCTTTCACAGTCAGGAATGTTTTTTGTGCTATTAAAGTGTGAATATTGTGAGGTAGATTGAGGTGGTGTTTGCTTCACACTCAGCAGTGTTTCTTCTTTCCTGATTTAATGGACTGAAGTCAGAAGAACTACAGGGTTTTTGTATTTTTTCATCTTGCTTTTGAGATGCTAATAGCTACAGCTTTCAAGCCTGACCTGATTGTATCTGGCTGTGCTATCATGCATGTTTTTGAAATATTTTTAAATCAGTACAGAAAGTACATCTCCATGACAGTGATCCGCTGTACCTCTGAGGTGGTGCTGAACAGAGCATTGGGCAGTCTAAGTAATCTCTCCCTGCAAGGGGCCTGTGTGACTGGGGGGAGAGTGGTCCAGCTCCTGGCTCTTCGAAAACCAAAAATAAGTATCCAGTTTAAAAAAGCTCACTCTAGGAATAGTTGGAAAGCGGTATAAGAGCTTTGAGCTCTGTCAGAAGTGAAAGCTGTATTACAGCTGGTGCAGTGTGCGGGGTTAAAATACAACAGCAGGGTTAATGCATCCTGGCTGACACAAACTGCCCGTCAGTCTGTCAGCTCTTCACAGTAAGCCAGCCAGGCTGACGTAGGTTCGCTCACTTGTAAGCTTTGCAGCTCGTAAGATTTTTCTTTTATCTTGGCTTCCCATCTCACGCAGGAAAAGGCCACTTCCCAGTGTACTGCTACTTCAGATGTTGCTGTGTAGAACCACTATGAGGGCGATTGCTGTCGAAGTCAGCAGTGTGGGTCTGGTGCTGTCTGTGCTGTGTGCATCAGCCTTAGTGTCAGCTGTCACCTCACTGGCAGGATTCTAAGCGCTGAGGTCTTGTTTATCATAGCAGTTCTTACTGAGCCCTGCACAGATGCATTGGGTATCAGTAAACTGACTGAAAGAATGGGCTTTCTAAGTAGATTTTCCTTGACTTACAAATTTGATGATTTTTTTTTAATGTACAGCACATTGCCCTTCTAACAGAATCAAGAGTGATGTGCTAGTTGGACTGTAGTTCAATGCTACGTTTTAAAGGCCATAGGACGCCGTTTCACGCTGGATGGGTTTTTGTTTAGGCTTGCTCTGTTGTTTTTCCAACCGCTTGTCATACACGTGCGAGCGCGTCCTGTTTGTGTGTCCCTCATGCGAACATTCAGTCTCAAGTGTTTATGCTGAAAGAACCACTCACTGCGAAAGTTACAGCTGCAGTCAAGGGAAGTCGGCACTGGAGGCAACTGGACAGGATGTGCACTGACCCGAGATGATCAAATCAGATTTGAAATGGGCCATTAGCTTTTAATGAAGTTTGCCACCCCCACACGTCTAAAATAAAACTGACTGTGGAAAAG